CGGTAACGCACCGAATGTGTGGCTTCGCAACGTGGCTAAATTATTAACAAACGTGTGAAGTAGTTCAAGTGACAGTACTCCATCGACCTTTCTCGCAGAAGCAAACTAAATGATATCTATAGTAACACATTTAACAGTTTTTGCAACGAAATACTAGTTTTAGCACAATGGATAATATTTCCTACGATTTCTATGTTCCGTGATTTATAATTTTTAATTTTTAATCCGCTGTTTCCATAATTTTCACATATCGCGATTTGCAACGTGCAACATGTCCGGATGTTTACAAATATAAACCACTGTGTGCTTTCACTTTCGAGCCCAGGTATAACTCCAGCTTGTGATGTAATAATTGTGAGCGCCCGCAACAAGCATGGACTTATACATATCGACAAGTATTGTGTGTGTTTTTTGCAGCACTATAGTTATGGTATACTGGAAAATACTTTTTTAGGTGGAATTAATTTTCGCCGCAAATATATTTTGGCTGTGTGAAATTTATTTTCATTGACACTTCATTGAATGGATAATACAGAAAAAATACACTGGATTGTATTTCTATCTGTTCATCAAAAAAAAAAATTCAAATGAAGATACATTACTTTACAGTATATGCTGGTATACTATTCAACTTGACTTTCCTTCACACATTGAAAGCGTGACCTGTCCATTCTCACTCAGTTATTCCATTACGTTGCCCTATGGCTCTGACAATCAACGAGAGAGATGAATGGGCCCTCTTAACTTGTCAAGCAGTGTAGACGCCTCATTCACGACCTGGTGACACCGATCAATAAAATATCCATGAAGTCAATGAAAGAAGACGATGCCATTAACAACTATTACTTTTAACATATCCCCTATCAAATTAGCGTAAACTATAACGCGTATTTCATCAGTTTATCTTTAAACTGTTTATCCTATTACAGTCGCTGAAACAGCCCGAGACATCATGTAATTTCCATGAACACTCAACCGGTCGGTCGGTAATTGTGACTTCATGTCAGTGATTATGGGCCTCGACACTCGTACAAGTTTAATCAACTCTAGAGGAATACTGTCACTTGACGCATCGTGATAAGCGTGATATTTAAGCAATATAGAATCTCAGACTACGAAAATAAAAGAGGACATAGATGGAATGTTTCAATATTACTATTTTAGATGCGCTTACCAAAAATTAATTCAGAATTAATGTAACGTAGTAACAACCACGAACTAGTAGAATAACAATATATGACGTACTTTCGAACATTCATTTTTCCCTAGTAATTTAAACAAAATTGAATAATCACGAAAAATAATTAAAAACAAAACAAAATAATGTTAGCATGTGTAATGTTTCGGACTATATCCCTACTGTCAGACTGTACTGTCACTGTATGTATCGAGCTGTACTGTCACGGTCATTGTCGGGCTGTCGGCCACAGTCTGCGTCGGACTGGGTAGCTTGGGTATATTGCTCCCCCCCCCCCCCCAAAATAAAAATGGCAAGTTTTATTTTATCAAGACTTCTCGGTGCTTTTTGGGGATGACTTGTCATTACTAACACATTTTTTATATCGCGTTGGTCGAATGAAAGGAGACCAGATAGAGTTCCTTCTCTTCGCGAATTTCAAGGTGGCAACGCATTATCACCTTGTATTATTTGACGGAGATTGTCACTTGACGTAATAGATAATAGGTGGACGGGCTAATTGAATTAATTATTCAGTTCCAGTAAACCGAGGCCCCTGATTGGTTAACATGGTATTTAACACCTCGTGAGTCAATGCAGACTGTCCACGCCTGGTAAATGGCCGAGATATTGGTTTAATAAGTGTTAAGGATGTCAGCATAAATTATCGCGTGATTTAACACCTCTTGGGCGATGCACTGTATATAATGCTAGGCTTTGTTAGCAAGAATCAGATCAAATTCAACTTCTGTGGACCTAACATCTTTTGTACGAAATAGATTTACAGTGCTCTAAAACCATGGCTGATTCTATCCAAGACAGTCAATCTCGTTCAACGCCATTGTGTACTGTGTCTCCAGGGTCATCGAGTCGGTGTTCAACTCCAAGTTCTGCAACTTCCTCGTTGATCTCACCGCTACCAAGTGCGAGTGATAATGATGATTGCAGCCGAGACGGCAGTCCGAGTCTTAGTAACTCATCGTCCAGTCTAAACGGTAAGGTTTCGTAATTGTGTTCTACTATAAATAATAGTGGTTCTACATTAGATCTTTTGCATTTAGTACATACATATTTCTGTCCGATAAAAAACTGAATTGTAATGTTTAATCTACAGGTGATAGCAAAAGGAAGAGAATTAATAAAACCAGTCGTGCCCGACGAACCTCTTTCTATGCCTACCAACTCACTGGACTCACGCAAGTATTTGATCAGGAACAGTATCCCGACCCCGCTCAGCGCCAAAAAATAGCAGATGCATTGGAGTTGGACTTTGATACAATCACGGTATGTGTATTTTTTTTGAGAGTTTATTTACCGATCGTTCCACGCTACTATGCGTTCCACCATGGTCATGTAACTCTGTGGTTCAATCAACGCCCATGCACATTTTGTAACAAATGAATGTATATATGTTTTATATTGTGTATCGCCTGTATTGTATCTAGGACTATGCCAGAATTATCTTCGGGGGGGGGGGTAGTTTGATTTATGTTGTAATTTGATTTGATTACCTTTTCAGAGATGGTTTCAAAACCGACGTGCTAAGTACCGACGCGACAGGAACAATGTAGTAGCGGTGAAGGAGGAACCGGTGCATGAATCTGTCATGCCAGTCGAAGAAAAAGAGCAAGGGACAACAACACCTCCACCACCCCCTGTCGCTTCTACAGTAAGCTCGTTTGCCATGGATTCGATTCTCCAGCCTTCGCCGCCTAGTCGACCACATTCTATTAGTAAAGAATCCTATGCAGAAGATGCAGATCCGCCAGCACCCGGTGTTAATAGTTACTATGAATATCATCCATATTATTACCCAGCATATATGTATCACTACTACCCTGTTGTTCCTGCACATTCTCAAGGCATGGTTTCCCCCAAGACAAGAGGACCAAATTCGGGACCACCGGAGCAACCTTTAGATTTAAGTTGCAGTGAAAAGAAGCGAAAATGTGACGACAAAGAAAACGCGGAGCCGGCATCCAAAAGAAGAAAAGTAGTGGAAGATTGCAAATCGGATTTTACGCCAACAAAAACAGAGATTGCACCAGCAATAAAATACGGGCCACCACAGGAGACGTCAAAAAGAGACAGTATGTATTATTCGAAGTTGCGATCAATGTACAACCCATCACCATACTACAATCCAGTTGCGTATAACTACGGAAAGTACCAAGATATTGTGCGACACGATTTGGCCACCCCTGGATTTGTTCCGATGACGTCGACACCGGTACATTCCTTAGAATATGGTAGACCATATGGTTACCAGTATTAACCGAACAATCTTAATGGTGTTGTGTACGAACAATCACAATGTTTATGCCTTAACTAAAACTTGTATTTATTCCCTGATATTTACGGTTAGGTTAGTTATGTATATTTATATCAAAGCATGCTTTAAACAAATCTCAATTTTAATGAGTTTCTAAATTAAATATTATTAAAGATGCCAATTTATTCACGATTTATGCTATTTACTTCTATGTTTAAAATTTAATTAACAGTTAGATGTAAAGAATTTAAATTCATATGTGATCATTACCATTATTAATACTATATGATGTATTTATTGATACTCAAACTGAGAGTTTTGCTTTCTGTACAAAACCTTGCTTGAAATAAACAACGTTATATAACAGTGTATGTACAGTGTTTTTGAGGTGTTGTGTAGAAAAAGGGCGCTAATCTGTGCCGTGAAAGTTTCCATTGTTCCCTCAAAGATATGTGTCGCAA